TTTTTTGCTACGCTGGCTTGAAATGATTTTGAAATTTGAACAAAAATATTTTCATTTTCCGAAAATGATAAATGGTAGCGGATATTTTTTACATTGCTGTATCATGCCATTTCCATCTATTTGACAACCGAAAAATTATCTATTTTTGTTCAAAACGTCAGGGTTGAGCGAAGCAGATACTTGACCGAGAGGAAATCGTGATTCGCTTTAGACATTTTATTTTGCTATCGGTCAATTCAATGATCGATAAACAAACAATTTTTCTTGATTTTGGCCATGGATGATCTAAATAGGAAAAATTTATTTTTAAAAAAAGCTTAACTGATTTTTTTTTAATAATCTAAATTCGTAAATAACTTTAGATGTTTGCATGAAATTTATCTTTCTATAGCAATAGGCTTGAAAAAATCTATTCGATTCAATTGGTCCTTAATAATAAACACGAGGAAAAGATCAGGACAAAAAGGTCTTTTTTTTTAATTAAGAAAAAAAAAACTTAGTTGATTTTTTTTAACAATTGAAATTCGTAAATAACTTTTGATTCACATAAGGGTTCTTCTTTGCAAAGAATCTTTATTGAATTTATTAAATTCGTGAACAATTTCCCTTTGTATGCGTTATTTTTTAAAAAAGTAAATAAATTTTTTGTTCAACACAACAAATAACAAATAAAATAAAAATATTAATATAATAATAATATGATTTGCTAACATTGATACTCCGAACGAATATATAGAGATGCCTAGCATATGTATAAAACAATGGAACGCCATTTCGGTACTATGCACCTCGACCCTCGAATTCGAATGTAGCGTAAAAAGCAAAACCAGTGCATCGTTTTTTTGGTCAATGAGTAGGGATAGCGGGTCTATTTATATGTTTTGTTGCAATTTCGTCAACCGGCTATGAAATAATCTATTTTTATTAAAGATTGTATCATTGATCATGAATAGATGATAGGACGCTAAAATGCTTTGCATCCAGTTCTAATTTAGATGCTCCGAATGAATATATATGTAAGCTATTGAGTCATATGATTTTATAATATTATGAAGCCAGTAAATATCATCGCACTATGATCTATATTTCATGAAACTCATCGTCACGCTTTCGTTTTTTTGCGGAGAGCTGATGATGTGTAGCAAACAAATTTTTTGTATAGTTATTTGCCTTTATTAAGATTTTCTCTAACCGGATTAATTGATAAGGATGTAATTGAAAAGCGAAAATTGTATTAATAATGCACCCAATCCAAGGATCTGCAATAGGATATATCCTTAATTTTTGTGTCTTAAATGTTAAGGATCAACCTACAAAATTCCATCACCATTAACCATCAGGACAAGAAATTTAATTTCCTATTCTTATAATATTTAATTCTGTCCAATAAACCAATATAAATTAATACATAGAAAGTTGCATTTAAATACAACCAAGTTTTCTGAACTTCACATAAACTTCATACATTTACCAGGAATCTGATCGGTCATTAATAAATTTTATTCATTTGTTAGAAATCAGAAACATCATGACCGGTCATTAATTTCCGCAGATATTTGTTAACCGACCAATGAATTTGTTAGGAATCAGAAACATCATGACCGGTCATTAATTTCCGCAGATATTTGTTAACCGACCAATGAATTTGTTAGAAATCAGAAACATCATGGGGGTATTGAAACGGGATGAAAAGATTATAGAATTAATGTATGCCGAATCTTCACGTATTATCTGCACCAATTCGAAGAAAGAAGACGATGACGTGAAATTGTGGAGAGAGACTTTGGATGGGGTGAGCTTTATAGATGCATTGTGTAGACCAGCTGGTAATCAATTCGGGTTGTGGGAATTCAAATTGCTGGCACTACTATGCGATTAAATGTTCTTGTGAGGGATCTTGGTGGTATACCAAGATATTTCCATCTAGATCATGCCGAAATTCCATTATCACCACATACATTGCATACTAAATCTCTTATTCGTTTATTATTGACCTTAAGAAATGTCATGATTGTGAATAGGAGTTTACTGATGCAAGCGTTGGAACAAGCAAGCACTCACCCGCCTCGAAACGTTAATCCAAGTCCCACCGTTTCATCACCACCAAGAGGGAGTAGCTAAGTTCACATTTATTATTTTTTATTTCACTTATATTTCTTTACGATTTTACCGTTAATAAAGCTATACATATAAATATTCTAAAAAATAAACCAATTAATTGCCATACATACTGAGAATACCCGAATCAATACTATTTATCTCTAGATATCTGCATACCTCTTCATAGTCAAATACCGCTTTTGTATCTTGAGTATTTCTATTTATGATAATTATATGTTCCCCTTCCATGACGTGCATATATTTATTCCGGTTTTGAAATTGTATATTGCGTAGGATTTGTAGTGAATCTACCTTGAGTTTTTCGTCTGTTATTTCTAGATTTGCGAGACATATTAATAATATCTTATGTATAATGACGTATTATATCAAAGTATTGAGACAATTCAATTTTTTTTTCTTGCAAAAGTGATCGGCGTGAAGAATTCTTCACACGCACGTGTTTATTTTTATTCGCTAATATTGAATATATCCATATTTTATATAAAAAAATGGCAAACACACAATCTAAAATTAATTTATTAGAAGAACAAAATTCCAAGCTTGTAGCCGAGATTACTGAACTTAGAAAAAAGTATTCTGAGATCGAGGCTGAGAATATCGAATTAAAACAAACTTTGAAAGATTATGAAGTTAGATTTGTGAATCTAGAGCAGAATGATAAAGAAAAGACTATCCATATTGCAAAGTTAGGTGATGAAATTAAGGAAATTAAACAATCTTCTGTTAATACCATTCCTACCAAAATGGCAAATTCTGATATTTCTGGACAGGTAGAAAATAGTTCCGATATATTCCAGGAAAATGATGGCTGATGTTCTGAATCTCCTATTTCCCCTGAAACAAATTCTAACGATACTCATAAACAGGTAATCTCACAAAATAAGGATGTTCCGGCATCGGATATAACTGATAACGCTTCAATTTCTGATGAACTCAATAATGCTCCAAATTCTGATGTATCTTTTGAAGATAAAGAGATCAAATTTCTGGAACAGGTACATAAAGAACAGATTAGAAATGAAATAGGAGAGAGAAACCAGGATAAAAAGTTATTACGAAATAATGAAGCCTCTATTTCTTGAGATCAAGAACCGATACAAAAGAATTTTATGCCCAAAATCGATCAGAATGTTTCAGAAGAACCTATTAGTCAAACACAAAGTACCATTTCCTCTGAAATAAAAATTCCCTATAATCAGAAAGTAGAACAAGGTTTAATACATGAGTTATTTGAATTTATTAGAGGCACTGATTTCATGTCCTTACAAGAGCTAAAGAAAACTCTGTTGAATTCTATCTTCATTAAACAAATTTCGGACATTCCTGTTGATATCGATCTACCCCAGGTTCCGTATCTCATTTAGCTCTTTTATTTGGCAAGGCTGAAAAAACTGGACGAAAAGAAAAATTGCGATGGTATTATTATAGTGAGGAATATGAAAAAAAAGTTTCAAATCTTAGTTCAGAAAAGAATATTAGTGATCAAATGTCAAGAACGCAAATCTATGATGAAATGATGCAGTATTTACCTGGAATCAAGAGAGAATATTTGCATAAGATGACTCAAAAGGCCAGAACTATCTATACATTATTTAATGGGATAGGAAAAGATAAAATTGAGTACATTACATATAGTGTTGATGCTATTTCTAGTTTAACCAGTACACAAATTCAAAATATTATAAATCTTTATACTGAAGAATTAGATGCAAAAGTTTCACTGTCTGAATCTCAAAAATTGATTGGCATGAAGAATTCTTCACATGCACATGACCAATCAAAATCTGATATAGAAACTAAAGTATGCAAAGAAATTTTATCAGAAACAAAGGTAAGTCTTCCAACCACTTCCTCTATCCAATCATCTCATACCTCTAATTCAGAAGATAAGATAAATGAAGATGTTAAATCTTTACCAGAGACTAAGGTAAATACTTCAGCTAATTCAACCCATGACTGCTCCTATTTCTGCAACAAAATATTGGAGCAATATCCTGACCTATATTATGAATTCAGTAGTGAAAATGTTGATTATTACGGAATTACTGCTGAGACATTATGTCCATTATGTGAATTAAATCATGAGGAAGGTGTAGAAGGCAGATATGAAACTGGGTCTTATTATATTAAATGCGAGCAACATGAAATTGAAATAACTGCATAAACTTCACCTTCTTATGCCTTCTTATACCTTTTCATTGCCTCCTAATAAAGAGCAGAACTGAAACAAATTCGCTCAATATTTTATCTTTGTTGGCTATTGTGAATTAAATTGATTTGGAATTATTTAAAACGGTAATATGAATAATACACAGACAAATTCCAATAAAATATTAACCTCTGAATATCTGGATTGGTATGCCAAATTAACTGGTTTACCAAATATTTTGACAGATAAAATCTGTTCCAAGTTATATAAAAGATATAAGAAAGAAACTGGGCTCGATCCCTGGATAAATCCCAAAATGAAGATAAGTGTATCAAACAAAACCCAAGAGGCAGAGCCTTATTATTCCCATAATTTCCCAATTTCTAGGACTAATCCAAATAAAATGGAATGTCTTTATAAATATGCCATTGAACATGGAGAGGATCCTGATAAATTTTCGATCATTACTGAGGCTGAGAAAAATAGGTGGGCCATGAGATGCTTCCGTGATGACTTGGAAAGAGATATACACTACTATCATAGTGCAATAGAAATAAAGGAAGATCCTAGAAAATATCATAAATTTTTAACTGATCGAGATAGGCTGATTGGTGAAGAATTATTACGTCGCAACATTCTAAAGAGTGGTTCAAATACTACATGGCTCGATAATCTTATGGAAGAATGGGGAAAAAACCATAATCAATTCATACAAATTTTTAGCCAAGTACTTACCTCCAATAAATTCCCTGACTGTACTTCTTTGTGAAAATCAGAAGGAAGTCTGTAAATATATTATACAGGATCTTTTTTAAACATGGGTATGAAATAGTTGGGTGTCTTTTCTAATATTATAATATTATGGAAGAAATTCAAATTTGATTTTTATCTGCATAATCGATCAGATAATGAATATGTTGTGTGACATCAATTGGGCTGTGCAATAAAAATTTTTTTCAGATGTAAGTTTCTGGTGATAATTTACAGTACTTCCCTATTTTTTTGTTTAAAAAACTACGAAAGAAATGCCACTAATACAAGAGATAATTGAAGGGTTCTTCAAGGATAAATCGACATGGTCTCTGTTTGCCTTTCTTCAATACAGAGAGAAGGAATATGATTTTACGTACGATAGAAAACAAGAACATAAGTTGTACAAGAAATCTTTAGAGGTGTTGTCTAAAGATCACATTCAGGCTTGAGAATGTCTTTCTAAGTTTGAAGTTAAGTATATTTTATTATTGGTTGAGATGAGTGGGTTCAAGAGCTAGAATATGTTCCGGTCCCGAGACAGCTACGTGACATATTGACAATCCCCCGAGTAGCTAGCTACCTACGCCCTGGCTAGTGAGAGCGAACACATCTTCCCTCGGGTGTTCTTGAATAGACTAAATGTTATTGCCATAACGCAACCAGATGCACACGTCCCAACTGGTTGTCAGCCTACGTCCCGTGTTATGGTCCACTTATCTCAATCTTTAGTCCTTTGGTAATATGGTAAGTTACAAAAAATTTAATTTCATGCTAATGCCTGTTTCCTTTCTGACATAGTATGTGAAAACCTCAGCAGGCATGGAGAGTTTTTGGAGGATGGTTGATAAAAAATGATGTGAAAATGAAATCGAACATGATGAGGTTGGTGAACTATCATCTATAAAATTTTTCATATTTAATAAGGAACTGACTTTATTGTATTAAATAGTTGCATTATGTCAGACGTGCACTGAATGACACAAATGGTGAAATGCACAATATACATGCTATAATGACTGACAAAACGATAAGAACATTAAAACATGGATTAGAAGGTCAAGTTGAAAAATCTGAAAGTTGTAAAAGCCAAGATCAAGAAGAGATACAGATGCGTATTTTTTTAGCTAAAAGTTGAGAATCAGCAGGACCAATTATTTGTATTTAATATCTTAGGATAATAATCATTGACTACATTCAAAGCGTTTTGATTCATTAGTAAGTAATATGTCTATATGTATATACATGTAATGTATGTGTGATTATTTACTTATTAGTTCTTTTTTTTGTCACATTAGTGGTGAATATCTTGATGAACCTTATAAAAAAGACATATTGGAAGGTGATGTTCATGCATGTCATGGTTTAATCATGAAGATCATATCATGCAAAAGCAAACAAAATGAACGAAACTTACAACAGCAGAAGACCATAAAGATGAAGAAGAAGAAGATGCTGAAAATAATGAGGACTTCCAATTTGACATTGATTCGATTATCAAGATTTTATAACAAGAACCACTATATGAGGTATGAAGAAGTTAAACTTTTTATTTCTTATTGTTCTGCCAAATTTCTTACTATTGTTTTTGTAAACTAGTGGGAAGTGCATAATGAAATGTAATGGAAAAATTTCATCAATATCAGCAAGAGGTCCTTAAAACCACTTAAGACAACTGGATTGACATGGAATTATACATATGAAGTCTTGTAAGTGTTTTAAGATTTAGAAGTTGGAGGACTACAGTTATGTTCAAATGTAAATTTTATCACTATAGAGCACTCTCATCTATAATTGTACTCGGCCAACACTGTCCTTACACACGACTAATAATCTTGAGGATGATGAGTTTGACTTTATGAAACTAAATTTTGATGCATTTATAGTCAAAGCTCCGAAATTTGGATCGCATACGATGAATATAGTCACTAATAGAAAAATAGTCTTTAAAAGATATAGCTGAAGAGATGGCCCACATGAATTTCACTAGTGAAGAATGGCAGATGATAATTCAAACAAACCCATATACAATCAATGAGCCAGTGGTACCAGCTCCAGTATCTAATGCTTTACATGAGGCTGTAATAAAACATTCTTCAGGCCAGGACAGTTACATGCATCCAGATGAACCTCCATTAAGCAGAACATCTTCACAAAACTTCAATGGGTTGTAGGTTGACATGTTTTTTTTATTTTGATTAATCCCTTTAATGGAACCTTTTTAACAAAATTCATTTAACATATCAAGACGAGCGACTATACCTGATCTTGCACCACAAAGAACGTCAGAGCAAGAACATTGCAAACAATTTCTGTATCCTTATACAAGTCCAATCCTTATGAAGAGAAACAATGATTATAAAGTGTGGTTAGATCATGCCGTTAAAGACACAAAAAAAGACCTGATCTTTCTTGCGTTGTGGATGGTGGTGTCCCTTTATTGGTCTTTGAAATTAAACCATTGGGGATGTGTAAAATTTTGAAGCATATTAATTATAGGCTTTAGAATGACGATCAAGGCATTAATTTATTTTTCAAAAATAATTGATTTTCTTTTATTTTTAATTGATTTTATATAATTTTCAGAAACAAAAGGTTAATAAAATACTATGCATCTTATGGATATTACAGTCATGATTATTCCCCGGTTTGGAAATACTAAATACAATGATCAACGGCCATGAAATTTTATCAAAAAATTGCGTTAAAAAAATTGAAAGAAAAACTTGGCGAGAACTTTATTTAAAGATCATACAACTTCCAAAATATGTATTTCTAACTGTCCTACGAGCCTACCCAGGATTAAGGATGCCATTTTTTTAATTAATGTATATAAAAGATTATTAATTAAAAAATTTTCCAAATATAATAATGTGTACACACAGTACTTAACATATAACAGTCTAAATTCACAACCAATGTAAAAAATTTCATATTATAAATGTTTGTATGCATTTATTTAATAAATTATAAGTATTATCTCATTCTTTCATGATCTATCACAAAGACCCTTCAATAAATTTTTAATAATTATTCCAAAATGTTTTCCTATAACTTTTTTTGATTTTTTTTAAACTAAAGTTCTCCAAATATTTGTTATAATACATTTTGTTTCGCTTAACTAATGGATTTTTTCAATTGGGAAAAAAAAAATTGAACCAAAATACTAAAACACAACAAATGCTATCACGTACAAATATTTATAGTATGATTAAATAATAAACCATATACTAAATAAATATCTTAATAATCAATAAAGATATTTCAGGAAAATGCTTAGCTAAGATGTCTATTCTTTTTAAACTACAGCATTTACTGATGCATACAACAATACTCCCGCCTTTCTTCGATTCTTGCTTGCATTGCACTAATTTATTCTCTAAATATTTCTTATCTAATTCTTTGAACGGTTTTCTTGTAAGTTAATATAATTGAATAGTTTTTTTTCAATAAGAAATATTATTATTTAATAAGAATATAAACCCCTGTGGACAATTAATCCACCTAGCAAAAAATTGTATACGTTCCATCACTGCATTTCCTGATGCTTGTCTCCAAGATTGATTCTCATGATTTCAACTGGTGACTTTTTCAACAAATTCAGCAAATAAGCAAGGTAATGTGCTAGCTAACGGTCTTGACTTTTTGTTCACTATAAAAATAAAAAAAAAAAGGTTTAACAAACACACAAAAATTCATCGCTTTTGAATAGAAGCATAATTAACAGATTATAAAGAGAAAGTTTGAAGATATTATTTCGATTATGTAAAAAAAAAAATAATGAGTGTTGATCAACAGAAAATTCCAGAATCAATTCCAAATCGGGGAATAATCCTGACTGCACATCCGTTAAAAAAAAAAGTAAAATTTTACCTGAACTACAACAATTCAACATTACATAAATAAATTCGGTATGCACCCTAAAGTCGTTAAAGCCATAAACCGTAAAACTGTAATAAATATTGCGAGCGTGCGATCTGAGATATTGGAGTCACTAAATCTGGCAAACTAAATTAAAATCACTATTGCTTGATTAGGGCTTCTATTCGAATAAGGATTATTTGTTTTACTCGTTATGAATTTGATTATTCGAATTACATTGAAAGTTTATTCAAATGAAATGAATAATGAATAATTCGATGATTCGATAATTCAAACAAATGAATAAACGAATAATTCAAATAAGACAAATAAACAATAAAATAAATAATTCAATCGATAATTCAACAAATAAACGAATAGTAATAATTCGAATGATTCGAATAGTTTGAATAAACAAATAAAACAAATAAACGAATAGTTTGAATAATTCGAAATAAAATGAATAATTCGAGTAAAAACGAATAATTCAAATATTTCAAAACAAACAATAAATGAATAAAACGAATAATTCAAACAGAACGAATAGTTCGAATAAACGGATAAACTGATAGTTTGAAATAAAAAGAATAATAATAATTCAATTATTTCGATTAAAACAAGTAATTCGAATAACTCAAATAATAATTTGAATAAAACAAATAATTCGAATAAAATGAATAAACGAAATAAAATAAAATGAATAATTCGAGCAAAACGAATGTTCGAATAAACAAATGACAACAATTCAAATAATAAACGAATGATAACAATTGAAATAAACGAATAATGATAATTCGAATAATAAACGAATGATAACAATTCGAATAATAAATGAATGGTGATAATTCGAATAATAAATGAATGATAATAATTTGAATAAACAAACAATAGCAATTTAAATAAACGAATGATAATAATTCGAATGATAATAATCCAAATAAACGAATGATAACAATTCGAATAGACGAATGATGATAATTCAAACAATAAATAAACAAAGATAATAATTTAAATAATAAACGAATGATAATAATTCATACAAAACAAATGATTTGGATAATTCGAACAAAAAATTTTATTACGAATAGAAACACTACTCTATTGCAGAGTCACCAAATCTGGCACACAACCAATAATGTTCAAACTAAACTAAAATCATCATATACAACTACACTATTTGAGGCGTCCCTACAAGCAATATAGTAAAAATATTAAAAGGAGTTCCTAACTAGTAATTAAATGTTTGCCAAACCATTAATCATCAGAAAAGGTTATGAATCAATCAATCATGCCAGATTTATTAATTAAAATGTTATTTTTATTACCAAAGTTTTATTATTGAAAGATCAATTTTATTTATTTTTATTGATTAATTTTTTTTTCACTGAAGGAGATTTCAAGCATACATATTTATACTTCCTGAAGTATTACAAATAACATGACCTTTATTGAGAATTACTAAAGTTAAATATTAAAAATGCATCATTGATGTTGTCATGATTAAACGATACCTGATGAAATGTTTGTGGCAAGAAATTATTTGTCATAATTAAAAAAATTAACTTTTTGATCTGAGAATATTATGAAAATCATAGAAATAAAAGATTATGACAATCATGATTGTTATTTTTGTAGTCCATCAACTTTTAATACTGTTAGTTCTCAAACTCATACTAAAAATAAATAATTTATGAGGAGGAACTAAAAAAAGGAGTATTGCTTGAAAATAATTCTTTAAATGAAACCCATCAGAAGTTCAAGATGCTCAAAATCTTAATGATGAATCTGACTCATCACGACAAGGATTACTTGCCCCATCACTCTTCTCATCGCTTTCAATGTCTGGTTACTAGGTATTGGAGCAAAAGTATCATCAATTCCATTGCACCTAGCCTCCTCATCATGATATGTTTTCAGTATTTGTCAGATTTGTGATGTATTTCACAAATCCTGTGGACATCACATATTGAAAATTTATGTGACCATTCCATATCAAGAACGACCATCTTGTCATTACGTTGTAAAAAGATGTGAAATCGAAAGTTGTTAAAAGTTTTTATTCACAGTAAGCTTATGCTTATAATGTAGTTTGACTATGAATTGTACTTGTTAAAAAAAAAACATTAAATTTTTTGTTACATAATAAAAGAGATATCGAAATAAATAGTAATAAACAAAATAAATCAACTATTTAATAAAAAACATATATATGGTTGATTGCTATAGAACTAAATACTACTTATCGCGCGATTTTTTAAAAAATGAAATTTACTATGGAAAATTGTCTTTACAATTGGTTCCATTATCGTCACAACAAGAACAAGTGCACTTCTGTGTATTCTGGTTAAAGATGCACACCTCAGTTCCTGTAATAAATATGTTAATTTTTTTAAATGAGTAAATTTTAAATTGAAAATATCATATATTTAATAGAATAACAATTACCGCGGTCACAAAAAGGTGCTGGATCAGGACACTTTTGAGTTAAAGCAGATGGTACTAAAGCGCTGACGAATATAAACATAATCAACAAGATAGTAATTTTTGAGTTCATTGTTTATTATTTTTAGTTTGAATTTAGAAAATTAATTTATAAAAATTTTTTTTTATTTTTTGACGATATCTTTTCAAAGATAATTTGGACACCTTTTATATTAAATTTTCCGATAATTCTTGACCACTGCTAATTAATGAAATTGTTTCATTTTAATCCACAACGACATACTTTGAATAGATTATTGAGAATCACTATAACTTTAACTGATTAATATGTTTATGAAAGTTTACCAAGCGTATTTCATAACGCTTGAAAGATACTTTCACCCAAACAAATTTGGCAACATTTGTACTATTTACTGAATGGTTAATCGTATATATACTGGTTATTCAACCAATTTCTCTCAAATTTATCCAACTTATTAAAATTGGATTAACGTATTAAAGGACACCGGTTAATTATGATCATTCCGTCGATCAATAAATTTAATTAAAATTTACCCACAAATTTATTGATTTACCTTCTTGAACAGTTTTTTTCTATATATAGTTATTTTTAATTTATTTTTAATAGATTGAATTAAAGTTTTGCCAAATCGAGTAAATTAATACGCTGCCACCACCACAATTAGTGATCGCTATTTACCCGTTGTAATGAATGGCAAAAAATTTTTTAAAGTTTATTCCGTTATAATAATGGTGAACTAATCAAAATCATTCTGAAAAATCAATCTTGGTTAAATAATTAATAGGTTAATTTGTGAACAACTAATAAAACATGCTGAAATAGGATTTTAGAGAGCTAAACAAATTTGTT